ACCAAGTAGGCAAGTATAGTGAAGAGGCAAAATGGAGTCTGTCTTTGGGGTTTTTCTTTGACTCTATGCAATGCTCTTTTATATATTGATAATATTTTATTCATAATACTCTGTTACTGTGTTATGATGCCTGCCCAGTGGCCAATCTTGCCCTCTGCCCAGCCTCCAGATTTTTGCCTTCGTATAAAACCTCAGCCATTTCTTCCAGGTCTCCTTCTTTGCCGGACTGAGAGAAAAGAATGGTGCAAACGGGTCATGTACTGCTGGGACAATGTTATCAGCTATGGTTCTGGCTGGTGAATGATTAAGATCATTCAGGCATCGGATATGGCTGCAAGCAGAGACAGTAGGCAAAGGGGAGAAGGCAGGGGAAGGAGGAGACAGGGAAATACGACCTTGGGAGGAATGTTAAATAGGCGCATGGAGCAGGAAGGCTGATGGAACAAGTGTGGCTCCTTAATGACGTTATGCACATTAGAAAGGACAACTGGGAAACTGCCAGCGAATACTTGTAGAGAGTGTTCATGACACATTTAACTTCCTAAGCAGCTTGACCATGGGGCCAGCTGAGCCAAAAGAAAGGTTGAAGGTTAAAGGAAGGTATGAAGTCTGAGTCATAGCAGTGGCCAGATGGACCCCAGCTGGACTGCTGCTGCTCTATCTCTAATATGGGAATATATGGACAGCTTTTCTGCCTCACTCACAGGCAGAGCAGAGCAGTGCAAACCTCCTAACAGGAACCATAAAGCTTGAGAGCAGGGTCAGCTCAATTATGACCCTCTCTCTTGTCCCCAAGCCAGCTACTTTTCACATTCCTGAGCCAGGCCTGCACCAGACCCCTGTTTAGACATGACCGTACAGCCTCAGGCAGAGCCTTGGAAGGAAGCAATCCACATATCACACACTTCAGGGGCTACTTTAGGAGCCAAATATTTTTTACTTTCAAAAACGTAGATAGTGCTGAAGCAGAAGAGTCTTTTGAGAGTATTCAACCTAGAGTTTCTCAAGTGTTAACAGAGAAACTTCTGCATCAGCATCATTTGCAGAGCTTGATTAAAATGCGGATTACCTGGTCCCACCCCAGACCCATTAAGTTACACTGTCAAGGGGTGAAGCCCAAGAATCTGCATGTTAAACTCCCAAGAGATTCTTACATACCCTGAAACTTGAGAACCTCTGACAAATGTCAGAGCTCTGTGTGGTCAGTTACCCAATATTCCCAAAGTAAAATCTGAAGACCTCTTACCACAGAATCATTTGGAATGCCTATAAAAAATTCAGATTTCTGGGTCTCCTCTTAGCTTTCCTGAATCAGAATTTCTTATATGTGATAAAATTTGAGAAACCCATTTGCTTCATTGTACAGATACAGAAACTGGCCAAGATAGAGGAAGTGACTTGCCCAGGGTTGTCTGTTTAGATTATGGCAGAGTTAAGGTCATACCCAAGTCTCCAGACAAATCTAAACAGTATGCCCCTGTGGTTACCTCTTGAGGGTTGTTTATGTCTCGGTTTATCTCTCATGGCCACAGCTACCCTTAGAATGTCTGGCGCTCAAGAGTAAAAATGCAAGTGCTCTGGGTAGTTGGATGACAGTAGTTGAAATCTTCTCTAAAGGGTTGTGAAGAACAGCTTGGAAATAAAGTAGTGTAAGGTCATAAAGCTCACTTATAAAGCAGCAAGGTACTTCAGGACCTTCCCCAAATGGAGTTTCAGGGGACTCCAGCATGGAGTATTTTCATGCAAGGAAACTGTCAACCATGGCTTTTGAGTCAAACTGAACACAAACACCAAAAGGCCTTTAAGAGTTTACTAAACCTATTTTTGCCTTGTTGTTTTTGTAGCTGAAACACATGGCAATCAAGAAAAACTTAAACATATGCAGTTTAATGTCAGACCTGGTCCAAGCTCACTAGTCTGATTCCCCAAACCTGTGCATTTGAGGTTCCAGCTCAGTCTCTGCTTTATCTCCCCAAGACTGAGGTCTGGAACTCCTCCAGACTGACATTCTGTACCCCAGGATCTGCTGGGACAATCTAATAGAAGGTCATTGACCTCTAAAAGGAGAGCAATTTCCAAAATGATAAGGCCAGATAGATTTTCTTTGAGAGATTAAGCAATTGCCATTGACAACAGTGCCATTGTATGATTTGCATTTGGACAAATGCTTATAATTTTGGCAAGTGTTTCACCAATGCTACATAATTAGAAAAATTAAATGCTCTGCCACTTTGAATATATAATTCTATAAAGAAACAGGAGACCTCTACAGATATTCTGGAATTGCTGAGGGTGGAGGGAAAGGGCAGAAGGCAGGAACAAAGAAAGAAAAGTTGTAATCACACTTTTCCAACCAAAAGAAGAATTTGGTAGAGAGGTCCATACCCCTTTATCTTCAATTCTGAAATCAAAGAGCTCTGTATAACAGAAGCTATTTTTCATTAATTTGATATCAAATCTGACCTAAACTGACATGAACTTAGTCCTTGTCTCTTTTAGTATGAATATTCAGACATTGTTTCCTGCATTTTTCCTGAATAATTAATGGCTTAATTATGGGATATTTTCCCAGGAACCACTGGGAGTGTTATATAATAAACAGTACATACTCTGTGTTACCTTTCAAAAACTTTTTAAAAATTAAATTCTAAAACACAGGTAACAGACTGTGGACCTAGCAAAATGATAGCTAACATTTATGAATCACTGACCATCTGAATGAAGCTGTGCTAATCTCTTTTCATCCCATTTAATACTCACAACAACCTTCCTCACAGGTATTAAAATCACCTCCATTTTAAAGTTTGGAAACTGGTTCTTGGAGAGAATCTTGGAGAGATTAAGTAGTTTTCCAGAGTCACACAACTTTTGGCCAAGCCAAGATTTGGACCCAGGTCATTCTGACTCTAGAACCTACAGGCTAAACTCTTGCACTCTACTGTCTGGGAGAGAAGAATAGTTTTGAAGAACAGTGTGGGCTCTTTGTGGACTTTATGAAGAAGTATATGCCACCTATTATTCTATGTCATTTGAGGGCCTCCTACTTCCAAATATGTCCCCTTCCCCATTCTTACTTCTCTGTGATGCTGTAACATGGCTTTATTCCTTGAGGCTCATCTGGATGGCTTTATCACAGGGACCACCAACATCAGAAATCCTCTGGGCAGTTTGTTAAAAGTGCAGATTCCTGGCATCCATCCCAGACCTATTGAATTGGAATTGTTGGGGATTGGGACCAAGTTGTTTCTTACAGACATTAAAGTTTGAGGAAAAAGTGAATGCCTTGAGAAAGGCTAATCATTAACCCTCATTAATTAATCAACATCTTACCTCTCAATGACACCTAGCTGGACTGGCAGAAATAAATTCATGGATGGGCACCTGGAAAATGGAAAGGTAGCCTAGAATGGTGAGATATGGAAAGGAAGGAAGAAAGAATATGACAGTATCTCCCTACTTTGGCAATATGTGACGAGGAAAGAGCCTCACCAATGATATTGTTAGCTGCACTGGAACAATCTTGAGAGCATCTCTCTGCCACTCAGAGCACCTATCTGGACAAGATAGTTATCCTCATTAGATGAAAGAGGAAATTGAGACCCAAATGAGTCCTTTAATGTCATCCAACTGATTAATGCCAGTGTTTGGGTAAGTTTCTGGCCCCCAGTCTTATACAGTTTCAATCTTCTAGTAATCTCTTCCATAGGTCCAGAGAGGAGGAGCCATCAAATAAAACCTAGAGAATCAAGTCTTACATTCAATGATACACATTTTTGCCCACTAGAGGCCAATTTAGGTACAATTAAATGGTATGCTACACTAGGAAAGGGAAATGAGAGGAATTATACTGCAGAATAGTTCAACTGATATGCCATAGGTTTGGGGTTTGTTTTGTAACTCTAACAGGTTCCTTTATTCTTGTTATCAATGCAGGGATGACTACTAAACATTTTGATCTTTATACTTTTAAGAATATTCTGTTCTTGTTTGCTAAGTTCCCAACTTCACCTTTTCATCTTGCCTATGGTATCTTAAGCATCTCCATGACAACTAAATGTGACCTTAGATAAGGACTAGGAATCTAGAAAAATATGGATTACCACCACAGTAATCAGATCGCTACAGCAATGCAGGCTAGGATTGGGGCATTGAGGTTCAAGCCCAACCAGTGATTATTCCAATTAGGGCTGCATGCTCTCTAAAAAAGCTTTTCTCCAATTTTAGTGCACATTTGAATCACCTGGCAAATCTGTTTAAGTGGAATACTAATTCAGTAGGTTTGGGGTGGGACCTGAGTTTGCATTTCTAACAGTCTCCCCGGTGATGCTGATGGTGCTTGCTCCCAGATTACATTTTAAGTAGCAGGGAGCATGAACCGTCATCATGCTCAAGTAGCATGTACAAATGAGCATATTTACAGTCCCGGAGGAAGTGCTATTTTTAACAACGGTACTGGTGAGCATGCCAGCTCTGATATTAAGTTGTGTGAACTTGGGCAAATATCTACCTTTCTGGGTCTCTGTTTTCTCATTCATGAAATTATGAATTTGGCCTGGATAGTCTCTAAGATTACTTCGGGTTGTAAAATTCTTTGATTCTCTGATTAAAAAAAGAGATATTTTAGAATCAAAGGCTTAGTTCAAGGGCAAATTTCCCCTATATTACAAGGAAAGGGAGTGGGGAGAGAAATCTACTGTGACTTTTGTATTTGTCTTCTTAATTCCAAATCCTCTATGTGTCCTAAGGTAATTTATCTCTTCTGAATGTGCAGAACATTGGCATTCTCCATGAGAAGAGGCAACATTGATAGTGGACAACAGTTTTGGCATCTCTCCAATTCAGCTCTCAGTGTTCCCTTGTGACTGCTTCATAGGTAGCAGTTTTGGCTACTTGCTCATGACACTATCTCTCTAATAACAGCGGAAACCCTACTGTCTGCCCATTGGTTTCCAGTACGGGCACTCAATTCTACTTAGTCTCACCTGATTCCAGAAGATACAATGGAGAAGTACACAGACTCACCACCTACCTTGCAAGTAGAACATTCCTCCCTTCAGACAGAGAATCTGATTCTGCAGCCACAAATACAGCATCTGACTGAAGAGAGTCCTGATCCGAGGGGCCAAGTCATGCCCACCCTGGCCACCCCAATGATGTCTGTACCCTGCTCACTTGAACATCTCTCTCAGTTTCACCATGACCCTGCTAATCTCTCAAGATTTCTTGCACAGTTGGCAACTCTTAAGTTCCCCAATCCTACAGATGATGTCCAAGTCAAGTTCTTTTTTGACTACTTATCTCAGCAGATGGAAAGTTGTGGAATCATATCTGGGCCCGACCAGAGCACTCTGCTGAAACAATATGAGAACTTTGTTCTTGAGTTCCAGCAATCATTTGGAGAGCCTACAAAACAGGAAATAGACCCTCTGAACAAAAAGGACAACTCCTCCCCTCAGCAGCATGCTTCTACTTTCCAGCTCCTTGCTCAAAATCTGAGCTGTAATGAAACCAATCTGAGTGGCAACTTCCAAGAAGGACTAGCTGACTCCATCCAGGATGAAGTGAGTGGCACAGATATGATGGACAACCTTCCAGACCTGATCACTCAGTGTATTCAGTTGGACAAGAAACAAAGTGACAGGCCAGAGCTTCTTCAGTCAGAGACCCAGCTCCCAATGTTGGCTTCCATGATCCACCCCCAAGCCTTTTCCAGCCCCACAGATCTGCCACCCAAGGAAGAACCTATACAGTTGCGTGGAAGCCAGCCACCTCTCACCCCAGCCAAACGAGCCCTCCAGCAAGAAGCTCAGTTGTGCCTCTACTGCAGCCAGGCTGGTCACTTCACAAGAGATTGCCTTGCCAAACGTTCTCGAGCCCCAGCAAGGATAAATAACCCAACTCACCAGTAAGAGAGGAGGTGGCTTTGTAAACTTATATCCCTCTCACCTCCAGCCTTAAAGATTTATATCCTGAATTAACATTTAAAATACAGGTGAGGAACTATGATACCACTTCATAGACAGTCATGAACTCATGTGCTTCTGGGAATTTAAAGAACCAGATCTTGTTCATTTGGTGACCTATCACAAAATCAAACCCAACCTGATAATGATGAAAACAATTCACAGGCACTTTCTGCAATTGGAACCAATTCCCCAAGAGTACTGAAAGTCTGTAGGTGAAACTCTGGCTGATCTGAGCCAATGAAAACAACCCTGGAAGTGCACTGGGAACACCATTCCCTCCAATGGGTGAGATCTGGGTTGAGTTTGTTGGCCTAAATCTTCTGTGCCTAAGATTAGGCCCAAGACTTTCACCCTCACCCTTATTGGTCTATATTATAGTTCCCTGTTGGTTTAGAACACTTGGTTGAATTCCTAATTGCATTCCATATCCTATCAACATTTTTCTACTGGAGGCTGGAAGCTGCTCCACCTATTGACTAGAGTCCAGCTTCAACACAAACCAATCTTCATGGAAACACAACTCTACTACTGTTCCATAGAGCTATGTATTTTGTTGCTATTTAAAGACCTCTGCTTGCTCAAAAAAAAAAAAAAAAAAAAAAAAAAAAACACCTGGATCTCTTAGCTATTGACAAACCAGATGGCATGGCCATTTGAAGACTCTGATTGGAATTGTTGGTCCACTTCCTTGAGAACTAGCCCTTCAGGCACATACATGTTTTTAACCAAGCCCGACTACTTCCAGGTTACTCTCCTCTTCCTACAACAACTTACTTTAGGTTATAGCATGTATAATGGCCAAGTCAAAATGGTCTAGGATAATGACCTCTGATAAATATTAATGAAAGTTGGGGAAGGAGTCTTCATCATAATTATTATGTCTACAGCATGTACTCCTGCCTTACCTGGCAGATAAGGGAACCTGGTTAAATAAATCCCCACTGAAGACTTAGGGTCAGGCTCTGTAGTAGTTTCTGACTCTAGAGGCCTCAGTGTGATCACCATTTAGGATCACTACCATTGATGTTGAGCTCTATACCATTATGGACCACCTCTCAGGATCCTCATCTAGTTGAGAATCTTGAAAAGCAAATAATGGCAGACAACTTTCTGAACCATCCCATCTGACAAATCCTGGGGCATGAACATCAACACCATTGATAAATAAATCTCAAGAAGAAGTGGGGTTTGGTTGCTTGTGTTGTGCTCTTGGCACACAGGCACACACATCAGCTCTGTGTATGGATTTCTAATGCTTCTGAAGAAAAGTAGTGCCAAGCTGGAGAGACACAATTTTCTAAAATGTTAAGGATATCCAGTGACAATTGATGCTTGCTAATAATAATCAGTCCTCTGTTCCCTGCTTCTTAGTGCTGATGTATGTCCCCATAATTGATTTCCTGAAGAAAGATCAGTAATTCCATATTCCCTAGCAGCCATCAAGACTGACAATGAAATGTCATTGTACTTTGGCCTTGTTCCTAGAGAATTATGCTAACTTTGACAGTACTTAAACCCACCTAGGACCTTCCCATTTTCATCCTGTAACACTAACAAATAGATCGTTTTTCCCATCAGTACTTCGCTAACCACTGTGCCAATCTTTATTTGCATTCACTAGGGGTCTCCTTTATCAACGGCTTGCTATACATCCACCTTACTCCATATGCTCTCATAACAAGGAGACCTGAATGCTCATATTCCAATTGTGCCAAGAAATTCCCACTGTGGTACTGGGATTGTATGAAAGCCTCTAACAAGTAGATCTATTTGGAACTTTAAGTGTCTCTGGGATTACCTGGAGGTATCCTGATCTAGCACCCCCAATTCTGTAACAAAAGAGTAACCCAATAGCCTCCAAACACTTTCCTTACTGACCCCAGTATGGTCTTGGAATGCTGATGGGAGCATTCAGTTGGCTTCATCACCAATCTTTCCTTACCTTAGTGACACAATTTATTATTGTATGCTCTCTCACAAAGATGCATCACCTTATTTCCTGTTTGGACCTTCTCTCTGCAACAACATCACCTTCTTCTCCAAGAAATCTTCAGATTTCATAGCCTCTCAGAACAGATAACTAATTCTGGGCTATACAACCTCCCATTTCTAGAAGCTCCTTGTTGAGGAATTCCCAGTCAAGGAATTCTTGTGCTCTATGTGATACAATCCAACAATCATACTGAGCATAGGAATAGGGTACTGGGATAATGCTTTACTGTCTACTAGCTAGCAACCATTTTGTTTACCACTTAAAAATTTTGTTATAATGACACCATCCATTTCAACTAGAATAAACTCGTTATTTAGCATAAAGAGAGTTACACTGTTTTTCTCAGAACTTATACCAAAGTGAACTTCCCTGAGAGTGAAGCTAATTAGTCTACTGAGAACCGATGAGATGTAACCTACTTGATCATGTAGTCTGCAACTACAAAGACTTGGGGAGTCCTCAAGTCCAAACAAGATTGTAGTTTTAGGGAGGCAGATCTGCTACATGATTGATGCCATCCAGCAAGGTAAGATCTAATCATTTTATGGTAAGTCTGAAGAAGGAATTGTTAACAAGAGAATGTTCTTTAGGGAGTCTAGAAAAGGGGGCAATTAAAGAGGCATAGGGTGTTGATAATCTTTCTAGACTCAGAGAGGGGATGTTGACCAACATGATTTGGCAGGTCTATATACAGTGGGGTGGAAGCACCAGGCCATCCCAATTTGTGTTATTAGCCATTAAGATTACCACCTAACTCCCCTTGCTGAGATCCTATGTGTTAAGAAGTAATCTGATTGTAATTATGTTCCCATATAAACTTTGTTATGGGGAGAAAATTTGCTAATCAGCTGACATGAGTATTCTAGCCTATTCAGCAGTTAATTCTCATTATAAGTAAATAAATTGGTTTTGGCTTATACATCAGTCTTTTTGTGGGTTTTAATAGCGTCAATCCTCCAGATCCAAATCACTGCTGAGTGCACTGGAAAAACAAATAAGATTCTCACAATGCAAAGTCAGTACCACAGTGTGAACCATAGTGAGTCCACTCAAGATTGGCCTCCCTGGGAGCCTTACATCAACAGTCATCCTCCTTTTTTATGTCTCTCATTTGTCTACAGCTGTAATAAAATTCTGAAAGGTCAATGTTTTTTAATTCCTGCACTTACCTCCATTCACACCCAGAACCATGATATCTGCCATAAGTAATTACTTCTTATAATACTACACAGTTCAGTCTAACCATTAGAATATATCATCATGGATGAAGACATGACACATGACTATAGACATGAGCCTCTGACAAGCACCTTTAAAGAGGGAGGACTGTATAATTGTCCTAACGTTTTTACCACCTCTATTCTGTCCAAATGGCAGCACATGGGACCCATGCCGTCACTGCCTTTACCTCTATCCAGGATGGTAAAACAGATATCACCCTTTTCTGGACTCTGGAATATCTTTTCCACCCAGCACCATCTAGCCTATGACCACAATAGTCATCCCTGAAACAAAATAGAGCATTTAGGATATACCAGCATCTTGGCAAAATCTGACACCCTTGGGAGAGCTCTGGGAGTTTAAGTCATATCTGTAAAGCCTTCTACATTGGTGGGTATGTTTTTGCCTCCCTATGAAGCTTAGGTCTCACTTGGCCAAGAGAATGGAAAAACCTTCAAGGGAGTATAGTGTCATGGGTCCTTAATATCATCTTCATGCAAGATTCACTGTCCACATTTTAAAAACAAAAGTCCCAGAAGTGAGTTACACTATTTAGTAGAGTCAGTAGAAAGATCTTGGTACCTAGACTATGCTGTCCAGTCATTGTTTGCCACTATAACTTTGAGAATTAATGCACTAAATTATCCATATTACTTCCTGGTATTGGTTTTGACTCTTGAGTTTACTTGAACCTGCTTCCTGCATACTGATTTCTAGTACATATCTAACATGGCACTAGTTCTCTTATTGGTCCAGTTCAGTGATAAGCCTAGTTGTGACTGTATTCCACCAACCCCATTTGCTTCATAGTAACCCAGTAGAGAACCATGTAGAATTTCAGTTTTCCCTATGAATGGAAGACTCATCCCCTTGGGCATAAAATCTAGTTTTGTGTGCATCTAAAGAAAGAGAACTAATAGTTGGTGAATGCCTACTTTATGCCAGGCCCTGTGCTGAGTGCTTTAATTTGTTAATGATACTCACTTAAGTTCGCATTACTAAAAAATGGAATATCCATTTCTGGCATTTAGTACTCACCACACCTTTTTAAGATCAGTGTTATAAACTTGATTTAAAGATAGTGGGCCCTCATGCATTCTTCCATATAAACCAATAATCTCCCCAGCTTGCCCTTTCTAAATCTTCTCCAGCTCTACTCTGTGTTTAGTGAAGGACAATCATTACAAATATATGCAGAATTCCAGGTGTGGACACAAAATAAATTTGAACAAGATAACTTTTTAAAAATTACTGATTGTTTTAAAATGGCATCCAGTAATTCTGGGGAGTTTTGGGGTTTTATCAGTATCTTGAGAGAAGAGTCATTGTGGACCCTTTCCTGAAAGCTGTAATTCTCTTCCCTAAATTGTAGTTGATGACACAAATCCCACTACTCTAAAAATATAGTTGGAATGTTTTAATAAATATGTATCCTTAAAACAACACTGAAGTTTATCGTTCTTCCCTCTCACAAGGTTTTCCTATAGTTTTCCCCCAATTATTAATAATAATAATATAATAGCTACAATTTACTGACCACTTACTACACATGTGCCAGGCATTATACTCTGATTTATGTGCATATTCTCTTTTAATTCTCACAATGACTCTCTTAGATATCTCTTATTATTATTTCTATTATGCAGATGAGGAAATTGAGGTTTAAAGTAGTTAAGGAAATTATCCATGAACACAGAACTAGTGAGTAAGAGGTAAGACTCAAATCCAG